GGCTTGAAATTTCTGCCTGTTGTGGTGGGATGGAGTTTTGGCCTGCCTGGTGACATTACCAGGCAGTAAATGAGTTAAAGGACCAATATAAATACCAGGGGAGTCATCTTACATTTGGGATCTTTACAGTCGTATTGATCAAACAACCATGAAAAGGTAGGCTCTCTCTCACTCAATTATGCACATCAACAACAAGCTCAACAACTAATGCTAGTCAGAGCTAGATGAGCTAAAATCCATCGAGGGAACATTAGATAAACCCTCTCAATTTTTCCGCTTGTTGGCCGTCAAAATTGCACTGATAAACGATGGGGAATAGTAGCCTGCTCGTCCTTCTGCAGCATGCCTGCCAATCCATGCTTGTCCCAACCAACGTTTTGACAACTGAATGGGAATTTGCCTGCCTGCCATTTGATCAATGCAAAATTCATTTGATTGACAACTAAGGTTGCATTCATAAATTGCCTTCAATGTGTCAGAGTGCGCTCTTGGTCGTTCATAAATTCAGAGCATTGTCTATTTGTAAATTCAGAGGGTTTCGCTCTCCGGGCGTTCAGAGCGCACACTGCACGATTGACCCTGGGCAGTCTGGCCGAGGAGTAGGGTTGATCCGAGCGTTCCTCACAACGGCAGTCAAGCACCTAAGCTAACTGGCTAAAGTTGGCTAGCTTGCTAGCTACTTCCAGACACAAATGAGAGATCACCTCACTCTGTCCATTTTACTCGCCCTAGCAGAGCTGGTTAGGCTGTTTACATATTATCTAGAGCGTTTGTGACTACCTGTTCGTTTTTTGCCTACATTTACTGACACCGGTCATATTCAGCGGGTGTTGTGCGTTCTTAAATTCATCGGTTATTCTGCGCTCTGGCACACTCAGAAGAGTGCTCTGAAATCGGAGTTGATGGCCAGAGTGAATTTACGAACGCAAGAGAGATGCTAACTGGATAACAACGATTCACATTTTTTGCTAGCTAACCAAATGACACCTGCATCTGTAACTGTACTGTAGCCACTGAAAAACGATAAAGATTGGCTAAAAGTCGGTCACTCACCCAATGAAGACATGACATCCTCCCAGCAGCTAGCTAGCGTTAAGCTCTGTTTTTAGCTTGCTAAATAAATAGCTACATAAATATATACCCTAGCCTATTAGCCACATTATGACTGACTTGTGATCATTGCCCGTGTTAGTTTGATTGTATTGACATTCCTAACCTTAGTTACATTCGTCCATTTTTGTCTAAAATCTTCAGTCATTGAAACTGAAACAGTGCATCCCGAATAGGTGGAGGCAGCAAACAATGTACCAGGCCAGCTGTGATTTACAACCTAATAGCAATATTTTTTGGACTACCAAGAAATGTATTGGTGAATCTGTTTCATATCTGCAAAATACACTGAACGCAACATATAAACGCAACATACTACAATTTCTAAGATTTTACTGAGTTACAGTTCATATAAGGAAATCAGTCAATTGAAATACATTTATTAGGCCCTAATCTATGGGTTTCATATGACTGGGAATACAGATATGCTTCTGTTAGTCACAGATACCTTAAAAAAAGGTAGGGGTGTGGATCAGAAAATCAGTCAGTATCTGGTGTGACCACCATTTGCCTCATACAGTGCGACATGTCTCCTTCGCATAGAGTTGATCAGGCTGTTGATCTTTGCCTGTGGAATGTTGTCCCACTCCTTTTCAATGGCTTTGCGAAGTTGCTGGATATTGGCGGTAACTGGAACACGCTGTCAAACACGTCGACCCAGAGCATCCCAAATATGCTCAATGTGTGACATGTCTGGTGAGTATGCAGACCATGGAAGAACTGGGATATTTTCAGCTTCCAGGAATTGTGTACAGATCCTTGCAACATGGGGCCGTGCATTATCATGCTGAAACATGAGGAGATGGCGGCGGATGAATGACACGACAATGGGCCTCAGGATCTCGTCACGGTGTCTCTGTGCATTCAAATTGCAATCGATCAAATGCAATTGTGTTCGTTGTCCGTAGCTTCTGCCAGCCCATACCATGACCCCACCGCCACCATTGGGCACTCTGTTCAAAACGTTGACATCAGCAAACCACTGAAGTTGGTTACGACACCGAACTGCAGTCAAGTCAAGACTCTGGTGAGGACGTCGAGCACGCAGATGAGCTTCCCTGAGACGGTTTCTGACAGTTTGCGCAGAAATTATTCGGTTGTGCAAACACAGTTTCATCAGCTGTCCGTGGGGCTGGTCTCAGATGATCCCACAGGTGAAGAAGCCGGATGTGGAGGTCCTGGCTGGTGTGGTCTGCATTTGTGAGGCCGGTTGGTTGTACTGCCAAATTCTCTAAAACGATGGAGGCGGCTTATGGTAGAGAAGTAAACATTCAATTCTTTGGCAACAGCTCTGGTGGACATTCCTGCAGTCGGCATGCCAATTGCACGCTCCCTCAACTTGAGACATCTGTGGCATTGTGTTGTGACAACTGCACATTTTAGTGTGCTTTTATTGTCCCCAGCACAAGGTGCACATGTGTAATGATCATGCTGTTGTGATCTGACAGGTGTGGCATGTCAAGAAGTCGATTAAACAGCATGACCACGTGTAAATACGCCAGCCCAGGTCCTCCACATCCGGCTTCTTCACCTGCGGGATTGTCTGAGATCAGCCACCCGGACAGCTAAAGAAACTGAGGAGTATTTCTGTCTTTAATAAAGCCCTTTTGTGGGGAATTCAATTTGATTGGCTGGGCCTGGCTCCCCAGTGGGTGGGCCTATGCCCATCCAGGCCCATCTATGGCTGCGCCCCTGCCCAGTCATGTGAAATCCATAGATTAGGGCCTAAATGAATGTATTTCAGTTGACTGATTAACTGTTGCTAAGACTAATCGTTAAAATTGTTACATGTTGCGTTTATATTTTTGTTCAGTATAATTGACGTTAACTTGTCCATTTTTTTTTTAATGAACTTTTTTCCAGAGAAATCATAGAATAGTTTGACAACCCTGTTTGTAAGATTTCAAATGATATTTAACTATCTTTTTCAGTGATAAAGACATGGATGTCTCATGGTAGGGTGGGGTATGCAAAATGGGTCAACTTCGAGCACGTCTATCTCCTGAATGTTTTGTCGTTCAGGTCCAAAAAGTCACACTCTGAGTTGCACAAATAGAGTTGCACTTCTGTTATAATCTAATGTGTTGCGTTCATTTATTTTGTGTGAAGTAAAACTACAGTTGCACACCCCTGATCACTATTGATGACTTTCAAATATAAAATGCAGGTCTGCATTTTGAAAATGCAAATGTTATTTATTTATATATATTTTGCGTAATTTTACCCCCTTTTTCCCCCAATTTCGTGATGTCCAATTGGTAGTTACGATTTTGTCTAATCGCTGCATTTCCCCAACGGGCACTGGAGAGGCAAAGGTCAAGTCATGCGTCCTCCGAAACATGGCCAGCCAAGCCGCGCTGCTTCTTAACACACTGCTTGCATAACCCGGAAGCCAGCCGCAGCAATGTGTCGGAGGGAAACACTGTTCAACTGACGACCAAAGTCAAATTGCAGTGGCCTGGGCGGCCACAAGGAGTCTCTAGAGCGCGATGAACCAAGGAAATCCCCCCGGCCAAACCCTCTGCTAACCTGAACGACGCTGGACCCTATGGGATCAAACCCCAGGATGTAGTGGCACTCCAATGCAGTGCCTTAGACAGCTACGCCACTCGAGATGCCTGAAATATCGATTTCTAAAAGCTTATGTGGCCCCTGCTTCTATCATAGGCAAATATGTATAGAAAGTTTTGTTCATATCAAAAGGGGTGCGGTCAAATAGTGATTGAAATCAAATGGAACGACCCTGCAGACAAGCAACTTTGGTGCTCTGTGGCTAATGTCCTGTTGTTTTTTTGCTCTTTCAAATCAGTGTCTGATTCTGACCTGAAAATGTAGGCACTTTTGTTTCAATAAAAAATGATTGTAATCCTTTAGTACCTGCAGGTGGTTATATTACCGAATGTACCTTTAACAGAGTTGATGGCTGCTTTGGTCTATGCAACATAATTATTGTAAATAATCAATATTTTAAAGGCACAAATGTTTCTTTACATTTTGACAAATCTTAAGTTGGAAGGTCTTCCAGAATTTTGTCCCGCAATAAGTGGTCATGTATGCCAACACTGGGAGCTGAAAATAATTTGAAATGATGCTTGGTAAATTCTCTGGGGATGAGGCGTTATCAAGCTCCAGGCCTATTTAACCAAGGGACTTAATCCATATTTCTGTTTTTCCCCAGTCTTCGTGAGCGTGACATCAACGGGCAGACAAAGAAGTGGAACACCTGTTCATCCTTCATCCCCCCAGCTGGATGCTGACAGCTTCACATTTTTGGCAAAAAATAAAGACTACAACTATAGAAGGAATCTAAAAAACACTACATAGACTGCATGCTATTTATACATTGTGTTTTATACATTGTATTCCAAATTAGGAACATAATTTATTTAAAAGGACCTTTACCTGCTCTTCTTGGTTGTAAAGTGCAAGCAGTAGGCATTAATCTGTATAAGAGGGGATCAGAGATAGACATTGGTAGCAGCGAGAGTCATTCTAGAGAGTTGTTCAAGAAAGCATTACTTCCAGTAGCTGTGGCTATTGATCATTGATTATTATTATTATTGGTGCGATATTGTTGTGCTTCAACAGCAGGGCGCGTGACCCAGGAACAACCTCCCATCAGTGAGTGGGAGATGTTCCAGTTCAGTAAGTACCCCTTGGACATTCTAGATATGCTAAGTGGACACCAAGCCCACCAGTTTAAAGGCCTTGGATTGGAAAGACAGTTCCAGCACCAACAGCAAGTCCAACTTCAGCACCAGCAACAGCTTCAGCAGCAGCACCAACAACAGGGGGAGTCCTCAGGGGCTCTTCTCTCTGGGCTTGGTCTGGGGTCTCTTCAGGGGTCTAGAAGTAATGCTTTTGCTGATTCTTCATCTATATTTGCCAAAATGAGTGCCCCACCTCCACCAATATCACACCAGAGCCAGTCCTCATCCTCACACAGTTCACGGAAATCCAGCAAGATGAGCAGCAGCAGTAGTGTGAGTGGGAGCTCTGCTGCAGGATACCCACAATTCTTACGTCCGTTTCACCCTGCAGAAGCAGCACTAGCTCAGGAGCAGCTGCACTCTGGAATGGGACGTTTTGACTTTGGGGGTAGTAGCAGTGGAGGGTCTGGTGTTATTGGAGGTGTGGTTACATCTGCTCCCCCACCACCACCCTTACACCCTGGCCTCTCTGTTCCCCAAGCCTCACCTGGACCTTCCTCCTCCTCGCCCTCCCCATCAGCCTCATCTTCCGCCTCTAACAACCCTGGCAGTGCAGTTTCCTCCCTAGGGCAACCACTCGTTGGGCAGTCTGATCCACGTAGCTTACATCAGCAGTTCAGTTGCATGCTTGCCGCCAATCAGTACTTTCTTTCAGGGGTCCCGACCAACAGCAGTCTGGAGCAGTTTCTGGTTCAACAAGGGGGTCATAATCATCTTGGCCTGGGTTTGGGCCAAGGAGCTAGTGACTCAAACTCAGCCCTCGCCCCACCTCCAGCTCTTCACTCATCACACAGTCATAGTCACTCCACACCCCAGCCTCAACAGCAGCAGCAACCATTGGCACCCCATGCTTTATCGCACTCTCACAGCCATACCCACCCACATCATCCTCTTCACCCAACACCTCAGCCGTCATCTCTGGGTGGCTTTGATTTCCAAGGTATTCCAGTTCTCTCCTCCAATCAGCTGGCTTCGTTGATGCAACAAGAGGCTAGTGGTATGCCCCTCCCTCTACCACTCCATTTATCACTTTCGAAAGATGAAGGGAAAGGAGACAGTGGATCTGGTGGAAGTGGTGGTAGTAGGAGAAAGAAGGCTATGGCTGGCTACCTTCCTCAGAGAAAGGCAGATGGCACCAGTCACAGCAGTAGCAGTGGTAGTAACTGCCACAGCAGCTCCACTGAACACAGTCAAAATTCAACCATTCAACCGGGCCTTGTAGGAGGAGCCATAACCAGCCTTGGTGGTAACCATTCATCAGTCCTCTCTTCATCAACACAACAGTCCTCCTCAACGGTCTCCTCTTCCTCCTCAGCTCCTTCCTCATCCACTGCCTCTGTGCTGGTAGCTAATGATTCACAGCTACCTAAACCTGAAAATCTAAATCCCATGACCTCCATGCCTTGTCAACCTGACCCTGAAGCCATCTACCACTGTGGTGAATGTGGAAAGACCTTCAGTCATCTTACAAGCCTTCGCAGGCATCTCCGTAGTCATGGTTTGACTTCTGAAGATGCCAAGCCAGACACTTCAAGCGAAGACAAAACTTTCTGTTGCACCGAATGTGGAAAGGGATTCAAGAAAAGGGGGCACCTCCTCCAGCATGGTGTTATCCATTCAGGGGCTCGTCCATTTGCATGTGGTGTCTGTCAACGGTCTTTCAACCGCCGTGAGTCCCTCACCAGGCATGAGAAGATCCATGATGATAAGCCTTTCCGATGCCCTGCTTGTGGTCGCTGCTTCCGAGAGAGCACCTCTTTGCTAAACCATGCTGCGTCTGGCACCTGTGGAAAGCCTGGAAGGAATTCCCGGCCCAGACCAAGTGGTAGTGGTGAAAATCAAAGCTCTTCAAGTGCAAGTAGCAGCAAAACTGGAATGGTGGCTGAAGGCAGTGGTACAGGTGATTACCAACGAGATGGAGCGAGTAAATTTGGAACGGATTATTCAAGGAACCGGCCATCATACCAGCCATCCTACAGTGTGGATGACTACCGACGACAGCAGGCTAACCAGGCTAACCAATCTTGTTATTCTGGAGAGAGCTCCCATGGAAGTGGGATGTCAAGCCAGACACTCAGAAAGGCACCATTGGCACCTACCTTACACCCACACCCTCAAAGTCAACAACCACAACACCATCTCCATCAACAGCAACCTCATCTTCCTCTTTCATCTCTATTGGATGACTCTGAGGATGAGGTCACTAGCAGTGCCATGTCTGCCATTGCTGCAGCTGCCGCTGCTTCCTGCGAGATAAGTACTGGCGAGAGTCGAGGAGAGGAGCGAAGAGACATCATTGGAGGTTTGCTTGGAGGACTTGGCTTTGGGAATATGGGAGTCTCACCAGGTGGTCCATCATCTACATCTGAAATCGACAAGACCTACAGATCAGGTAGTGGCTCTACCATCCCCTTAACACATCCAAGCCAGCAGATGATGAATGCTAAACCGAAAAAGCCCCGCAAGCCTCGGCAGAAGAGAGAACCAGGACCTGATGGAATCATAGTTCGACAAAGAAGAAGTCGTGGGGAGGGAGAACGGCCATATTCTTGCGGAGTTTGTGGTAAAGGATTCAGGAGACGTGAGACCCTACGTCGGCATGACCGTGTTCACACAGGTGAAAAGCCACACCGGTGTGATGTTTGTGGGAAAGAGTTCCGGGAGTACTTCCATCTTACTAAACATTCCACTGTGCATTCTGGGCAGAAGAACTACAAATGTGACCTATGTGGTAAAGAGTTTGCTTACGCTCAGAGCTTGGTGAGACATGGAAAATTACACACAAAAGGGGAATTGGATGCTACACCAGGAGGAAAAATTGCTAAAGGCCATGGAGGGGTTATTAGTTTAGATGAAAATCAAGCAAACTCTCAATCTTATTATCCGTACCCTCAAGATAAGTCTCAGGGGTCCAGCTCATCCACTCAGCCCACTCAGAAGCTCTTTACATGCACAACGTGCTGGAAATCCTTCCGCCATCAGTTTCACTTGACAGCCCATCAACAAACTGTCCATGGTGGTGGAATTAGGGGTGAAAAAAATTTCTGCTGTGAGGTATGCGGGAAGGCCTTCGCCTATTCTAACAGCTTGTCCAGGCACAGGCAATCGCAGCATGGATTGGGCCGCACTGGGTCGGCAAACCCACCAGCTGGTGGAACCCAACATCCTTCCCAAGCAGATGAGTACATCCCTCTTTTTGAATCAGGTCACCCCTCAACTTATCCGTCAGGCTCCTACATGCCAAACCAATCCTCCCAAGGTCAACACCGCCCTTTTCAGTTCCAGTCCCAAGAAGGATGGGTTGGTGGTAAGAGAAAAAGAGAGAAAAAAAGGAGGGTCGAATATCAAAGTATAATGAGAGGGGGACAACTAGTGGGGGTTGCCTTGAATAAGGCTACGAGCAGGAGACTCAAAGTGATGAAGCGGAAAAAAGGAATAATGCACGAGAAGCTTAAGCAGAAGAAACTGCTCGCCCAGCTCCTGAGAATGAGAGGAGGGTATAGAGTTAAACAATGGTGTGGAGGTGTGGTTAAAGTCAGTGGGCTGTCATCTATGGAAGTCCCCATAAAACGATTTCCATGCCAGTACTGCCCCAGCACCACATTCGCCAGTCAGGCCAAACTTTTGATCCATCGTTCTGTGAGGCATCCTCCAAGAAATAACGGCCAGCAAGCCCGTCTGAAGTGCTCAGTCTGCGGAAAGCGTTCTCGGACATTACGGAAAGCCCTCATTCATCGTGGACGTCACCTTTCCCAAGGGCGGTTCTCATGTCCCAAATGCCGCTCCCGCTTCTGGAATGGATCTCTCCTGGAGAGGCACAGCGTCGCTTGCCAGGGTCAATCTCTGTTAGGTAGTGGAAACTGGGGCTTGAAAGTGAACTTGCCCCCAAGAGAGGTTGTTGAGAAGACAGCTTCAAAAGAGGTCCAGGAGGGCCAGCCTGGGAGAACAACAGTGGTGACTGAATACAGCCACTAATTATTTTCTAGTCTAGGATTTTTAAACTAGAAAGCAAGCAAGAACTAGCAAGTTTTAAAGATGTGGGCAACAGGCTTACATCCATACAATCCTTACTATAGCAGAGATGTTTGTAAGATAACAGACTTTTAAAGGCCCACATCAAAAGCACCATCCAACGGTCTTTGCTTCCCCAAAGGGGAGAGAGTATTCTAGATCATGTGAGTGTTTGAGTAGCACCTCTTGTCTTCTAAAATGCTTTCAACCACAGTATCCTTTTTGTTAGCTGTGTTTGCGCTGGGATTATGAATGCATACTAGTAAGAGTGGGGTACCAAAAGTACTGATGTTTTATTATGTTTTCTGTCATTATTCACAGTTAAACAGTATAGTCTTTGTCTATTGTTCTGTACTATGTGTTTTTCTTTGTTCCCCGTAGAGATTATTTTTCATACAGATGTTTGGCCTGAAGCAAAAAATTGGCCGGTAAGACAGGCCAGTCATTCTAAGAAGCTATTTAAACCGATAAAATATTAGTCAATTAGTCACTCCTAAAGTGAAACTTCACTTACTGAATTGATTAATCACTTTGTGTAACTGGAGGTATCATTTCAAACATTTGGTAAAATTGTGTAAAACTGACTAGCTGAATAGGTTGAAATGGATCAGAATGGAATGAAAGAGACCATTTTTCTGTAAACTATTCCATCAAATATAGGGGAAAACATTAATGGGACTTAAGTGTAAGGAATGGAAAGGGTAATGGGAACAACCGGAGTATACTGTATAATTCGTATTATATTTTATTATATATTGATTATTTGCTGTTTTAGTTTTTTACTCCAAGTATCATTTATTTTATCATTGTTGCTATTGTATGGGTGGGTGGTAATGAGTTTGGGGACTGTCTTTGTAAAACAATGGGATGATGAGTATATGTATCGATGTGATTTTTCCCTCCCCCTTTTACCAACCCTATGCCACAGTTAAGCCCTATCCCATAACATGTGTACACCTTGTTCATTACTTAGGTCCTGTCCCCCAGTGTTTTCCTTTCAGTAAACTAAAACATTAAATATTATTACTAAATAACTATCCTTTTCTTTGCCTAAAGTGAATTGTTGAAACTCCTAAAAATCTAATAAAAATCAAAAAATCTCATGCCTTCCCTTCCTTTTATTTAAATCAGTGGTATTTGAAGTCGCCCCCTAGTGGGGTTGTGGGGGAAATGCAGTGGGGTCTAACTTGTATACAGGTAGTCCAGAAAAGCTACATCCCTCATTGGAAGATTAGCAGCAACCCTGAGAAGCACCTGCTGCTCATCGGTTGTTCCCTTCAAATGCTGTTTTGAATTAAAATAACATTTTTCCTACACAATGAAGAAGGCTGCAAAGCCGAAACGTCTGTGTACGCTATCCCTGATGCAGTGAAAATAATAATAATAATTGGACAATGCAAATAGGCCGGGTGGCCATGATTAGCTGTTCAGGAGTCTTATGGCTTGGGGGTAGAAGCTGTTAAGAAGCCTTTTGGACCTAGACTTGGTGCTCCGATACAGCTTGCTGTGCGGTAGCAGAGAGAACAGTCTATGACTAGGGTGGCTGGAGTCTTTGACAATTTTTAGGGCCTTCCTCTGACACCGCCTGGTATAGAGGTCCTGGATGGCAGGAAGCTTGGCCCCAGTGATGTACTGGGCCGTACGCACTACCCTCTGTAGTGCTTTGCAGTCGGAGGCCGAGCAGTTGCCATACCAGGCAGTGATGCAACCAGTCAGGATGCTCTCGATGGTGCAGCTGTGTAACTTTTTGAGGATCTGAGGACCCATGGCAAATATTTTCAGTCTCCTGAGAGGGAATAGGATTTGTCGTGCCCTCTTCACGACTGTCTTGGTGTGTTTGGACCATGATAGTTTGTTGGTGATGTGGACACCAAGGAACTTGAAGCTCTCAACCTGCTCCACTACAGCCCCGTCGATGAGAATGGGGGCGTGCTCGGTCCTCCTTTTCCTGTAGTCCACAATCATCTCCTTTATCTTGATCACGTTGAGGGAGAGGTTGTTATCCTGGCACCACACGGCCAGTTCTCTGACCACCTCCATATAGGCTGTCTCATCGTTGTCTGTGATCAGGCCTACCGCTGTTGTGTCGTTGGCAAACTTAATGATGGTGTTGGAGTCGTGCCTGGTCATGCAGTCATGGTTGAACAGGGACTACAGGAGGGGACTGAGCACGCACCCCTGAGGGGCCCCCGTGTTGAGGATCAGCGTGCCAGATGTGTTGTTACCTACTCTTACCACCTGGGGGCGGCCCGTCAGGAAGTCCAGGATCCAGATGCAGAGGGATGTGTTTAGTCCCAGGGTCCTTAGCTTAGTGATGAGCTTTGAGGGCACTATGGTGTTGAACGCTGAGCTGTAGTCAATGAATAGCATTTTCACGTAGGTGTTCTTTTTGTCCAGGTGGGAAAAGGCAGTGTGGAGTGCAATAGAGATTGCGTCAGCTGTGGATCTGTTGGGGCAGTATGCAAATTGTAGTGGGTCTGGGGTTTCTGGGATACTGGTGTTGATGTGAGCCATGACCAGCCTTTCAAAGCACTTCATGGCTACAGACGTGAGTGCTACGGGTCGGTAGTCATTTAGGCAGGTTACCTTAGTGTTCTTGGGCACAGGAACTATGGTGGTCTGCTGGAAACATGTTGGTATTACAGACTCAGTCAGGGACAGGTTGAAAATGTCAGTGAAGACACTTGCCAGTTGGTCAGCGCATGCTCGGAGTACACGTCCTGGTAATCCGTCTGGCCCTGCGGCCTTGTGAATGTTGACCTGTTTAAAGGTCTTACTCACATCGGCTACGGAGAGCGTGATCACACAGTTGTCCGGAACAGCTTATGCTCTCATGCATGCTTCAGTGTTGCTTGCCTCGAAGCGAGCATAGAAGTAATTTAGCTTGTCTGGTAGGCTCGTGTCACTGGGCAGCTCGCGGCTGTGCTTCCCTTTGTAGTCTGTAATAGTTTGCAAGCCCTGCCACATCTGACAAGTGTCGGAGCCGGTGTAGTAGGATTCTGTCTTAGTCCTGTATTGATGCTTTGCCTGTTTGATGGTTCGTCAGAGGGCACAGCGGGATTTCTTATAAGCGTCTGGGTTAGAGTCCCGCTCCTTGAAAGCGGCAGCTCTACCCTTTAGCTCAGTGCGGATGTTGCCTGTAATCCATGGCTTCTGGTTGGGGTATGTACGTACGGTCACTGTGGGGACGATGTCATCGATGCACTTATTGATGAAGCCAGTGACTGATGTGGTGTACTCCTCAATGCCATTGGAAGAATCCTGTAACATATTCCAGTCTGTGCTAGCAAAACAGTCCTGTAGCTTAGCATCTTCGTCATCTGACCACTTCTTTATTGACCGAGTCACTGGTGCTTCATGCTTTAGTTTTTGCTTGTAAGCAGGAATCAGGAGGATGGAATGATGGTCAGATTTGTCAAATGGAGAGCAGGGGAGAGATTTGTACGTGTCTCTGTGTGTGGAGTAAAGGTGGTCTAGAGTTTTTTCCCCTCTGGTTTCACATTTAACATGCTGGTAGAAATTAGGTAAAACGGATTTAAGTTTCCCTGCATTAAAGTCCCAGGCCACTAGGAGCGCCGCCTCTGGATGAGCGTTTTCCTGTTTGCTTTTGGCCTTATAAAGCTCATTGAGTGTGGTCTTAGTGCCAGCATCGGTTTGTGGTGGTAAATAGACAGCTACGGAAAATATAGATGAAAACTCTCTAGGTAAATAGTGTGGTCTACAGCTTATCATGAGATACTCTACCTCAGGCGAGCAAAACCTTGAGACTTCCTTAATATTAGATTTCGTGCACCAGCTGTTGTTTACAAATATACACAGACCGCCACCCCTTGTCTTACCGGAGGCCGCTGTTCTATCTTGCCGATGCAGCGTAAACCCCGCCAGCTGTATGTTATCCATGTCGTCGTTCAGCCACGATTCTGTGAAACATAAGATATTACCGTTTTTAATGTCCCGTTGGTAGGATATTCGTGATCGTAGCTCGTCTATTTTGTTATCCAATGATTGTACGTTGGCTAATACGACTGATGGTAGAGGCAGATTACCCACTCGCCATTGGATCCTTACAAGGCACCCCGACCTACGTCCCCGATATCTCCATCTCTTTCTCCTGCGAATGACGGGAATTTGGGCCTTGTCGGGTGTCTGAAGTAAATCCTTTGCGTCGACTTGTTAAAGAAAAAAATATTCGTCCAGTGTGAGGTGAGTAATCGCTGTCCTGATATCCAGAAGCTATTTCGGTCATAAGAAACAGTGGCAGAAACATTATGTACAAAAAATTTACAAATAACGCGAAAAAACACACACAATAGCACAATTGGTTAGGAGCCCGTAAAACGGCAACCATCTCCTCCAGCGCCATTATGTAGTTTACAATTCTGAACTCACTTTATTTTTGCCAATGCACAAATGAAGTAAGCTTTGTGCGACATCTTTTTAAGTGCGGACCCATTACGCCTTTTGTTTTGTCCACTGATGAAGTTTGAATACCACTGATTTAAATCGAGAGCAATTCTGAACTCACTTTATTTTTGCCAATGCACAGATGACCGCTCCTACACAGTTCACTATTTATTTACCTTCATATACAGTGCTTTCGGAAAGTATTCAGACCCCTTGACCTTTTCCACATTTTGTTACGTTGCAGCCTTATTCTAAAATTGATTAAATCATTTTTTCCCCTCATCAATCTACCCACAATGTCCCATAATGACAAAGCGAAAACAGGTTTTTAGAAATGTTTTATTCAAAATAAAAAACATCTTATTTACATAAGTATTCAGAACTTTTGCTATGAGACTCGAAATTGAACTCAGGTGCGTCCTGTTTCCATTGATTATCATTGATGTTTCTACAAGTTGATTGGAGTCCACCTGTGGTAAATTCAATTGATTGGACATGATTTGGAAAGGCACACGCCTGTCTATATAAGGTCCCATAGTTGACCGTGCATGGCCTCCATCATTCTTAAATGGAAGAAGTTTAGAACCACCAAGACTCTTCCTAGAGCTGGCCGGCCGGCCAAACTGAGCGATCGGGGGAGAAGGGCCTTGGTCAGGGAGGTTACCAAGAACCCGATGGTCCCTCTGACAGACCTCCAGAGTTCCTGTGTGGAGATGGGAGAACCTTCCAGAAGGACAACCATCTCTGCAGCACTCCACCAATCAGGCCTTTATGGTAGAGTGGTCAAATGGAAGCCACTCCTCAGTAAAAGGCACATGACAGCCCGCTTGGAGTTTTCCAAAAGGCACCTAAAGACTCTCAGATCATGAGAAACAAGGTTCTCTGGTCTGATGAAACCAAGATTGAACTCTTTGGCCTGAATGCCAAGTGTCACGTCTGGAGGAAACCTGGCATCATCCCTACGGTGAAGCATGGTGGTGGCAGCATCATGCTGTGGGGATGTTTTTCAGCGGCAGGGACTGGGAGACTAGGCAGTATTGAGGGAAAGATGAACGGAGCAAAGTACAGAGCGCTTCTTGATGAAAACCTGCTCCAGAGCGCTCAGGACTACAGACTGGGGGCGAATGTTCACCTTCCAACAGGACAACGACCCTAAGCACACAGCCAAGACAACGCAGGAGTGGCTTCGGGACAAGTCTGAATGTCCTTGAGGGGCTCAGCCAGAGCCTGGACTTGAACCCTATCGAACATCTCTGGAGAGACCTGAAAATAGCTGTGCAGCGATGCTCCCCATCCAACCTGACAGAGCTTGAGAGGGTCTGCGGAGAAGAATGGGAGAAACTCCCCAAATACAGGTGTGACAAGCTTGTAGTGTCATACCCAAGAAGACTCGAGGCTGTAATCGCTGCCAAAGGTGCTTCAACAAAGTACTGAGTAAAGGGTCTGAATAATTATGTAAATGTGATATTTATGAACATGCAAAAATGTCTAAAAAACAGTTTTTGCTTTGTGTATATGGGGTATTGTGTGTAGATTGATGAATATATATTTTTTTAATAATTATTTTACCCATTTTAGAATAAGGCTGTAACGCAACAAAATATGGAAAAAGTCAAGAGGTCTGAATACTTTCCGAATGCGCTGTATGTTGATTATTTAATAAATTGAAATGAATGGCAAAACTGCCAGGTCCTCCACACTTGGCGCCTCAGTGCTCTGTCCTTACACTGCAGAGATGTTTACTGCTCATGTGTTGGCAAATGCCCTGAGCAGTGCCACACTCCATTTAGAAACCGAGGAAAACATTCCCTGAGGACGAGTATGGCTGTTTAGTGTCAAAGGCTCACAACTGGCTGTTCTGAAAGCTTCTGTGTATCTGGAAGATTGCTTATGGGTGCATTTTCTAGAATTCTCCTTTCAGAAAGTCCTTTCTTTTTTAATATACTGTATTTTGTCACCAGTTTGGCAGGGCATTAAACACTTAAGTCAGATTATCATAGGGTAAGTGGTGTGAATCTGCAGTCAAAACTGCAGATTAGATAGATACACATTAAACTCACAGTAACATTTTATTCCTGTTTCGAGGACAGCCATGCAGCTGTGGTTAGAAAATGACTAGTGTAATACTATTCAGTGTCCTCTAGATGGCCATATGAGGCCCTTTTATGAACGCTTACAGAAGCATAACCAGGTAGAGGGAGGGGAATATTTTGTCTATGAGAAACATTGCAATTTACATAAGGAAATAAAGTTATACATGCACATTGAAAGTATCCGTCCTATAACAATTCACACCATATACACAAGTCAAGGATTGATTCATCTGTGAATATTTGTCCATATATTTTTTATGTGTTTGTGGCATCTGATAAATTTGCTCTTGAAAAACGCAGTATTGCTTCCATCTAGTGGTTTGTAGGTCTAATGCATATTTCATTTTGAAATTGTAGTTTTAATAAATTGTGACAGGCTATTGTTTAATGACACATATAAAATCAAATGCATTAGGCAATTTTAACCACTCAAATTTGGGATTGTCAAGGCAGACAATCAAAGTTGTTCATTCAATTCAAATCGTATCCCCTACTTTATTGAAAGGCCTCGTGAATAATAATATAAATAATACAAAGCATTAATGTCTGTCTTTTAAACAATGAATTGTAAGAGTTGTGATGTGGATTTGATGGTATGGTCAACTTCTCCTAAACACAGTCCCTGGGAGCATGTTTTTAAGTTAGCACATCAATTACACTGTTGTACTTCAGAAGTGTGACAGATAAAAGGGGAAGTTATTACTATCAAGACATACGAATGTATTTAAGTTTCAAAGCAAATATTAGCTGGAGTTAGTATAGAGAAGTACCTTTCATATATATATTTTAAGTGTTGATGCTCATTATTAGGCTATAATGTATTAGTAGGGTAAAGTATTAATAGCCTATTGTCATTATTGGAATACTATAATAAGGAAATGATCAAGCAAAACTTTTACACTATGGGGTGGTCACCAACTACTTTAATAGACGTCAAAGCAAATTCCATACGATCTCTGGATCTTGCTAAATGAAAGACTCATCCATTCAATCTCACTGGGCTCACTTGCCTGTTTTACTTATCCTCTGTCTCACGCGGCCCTACCATGGGGAATCTTTGGGCGGAGCCAATGACCTAGTTTTGTCCAATAGCGTTCTGCAAAGGGCAGAGACAGACCTAATTTGAACCAATCGCTGGTAGGCAGCATCCGCGCGTGCCAGGGCCATGTGCTCGCTTCGAGTGCAGGAATCGGTTTTAAGGTAGAAGGGAGATAGATATTTTGTGTCTGCCAAAACAATGACTTTCACGTTTTTGCCGGATTAAATGCAATAATATTAATAATGATGATTTGTTGAATTTGGGATCCGGATCCTTGAAATTACAGAGATAGCCCACACCCCAAGTAGTCTATAAGGAATGTAATAGTAACATTGAAAATAAATCAGAGGCTACTGGACATTGCAAAGCAATGCCATTAATGTGTAGGTTTAGGATTGGCTACAGTTGTGGCGTTTCTGTGTAGCCTACAGGACCCGTGATTATAATCAATTAATCAGATATATACATTGGTCCATTAATCTCGTGGTCACTAGTTTAGCTTTATGACTGACATTAAGGTCAACCACGTGTTCCATCACCAGGAGGGGCGTTAAAAGTTATGCAGCAGGCGAATTGTTAAAGTCAGCGTGGTTTGGTTACAGTAATCAACAACTCCCTCTGACTGGTTTGTTTATGATGGGGTGGTGCTCATTAATGTTGTTTGGGGCGTTTTAGAAGGTGTGGATCATGAATATTGATCAGCCTCTCTCCCAGCGCCAATCCCCTGTGAGCGGTGATGTCACGAGAGCGGCCCGTGTTCGTTCCAGCTGACTCCTGCCGCGCCGCGCTCGGTTGCTTCCTTGCTGGCAGCCCACAGAAAGGCAGGGAAAGAAGGTAAACGACAAAAATAACGAGAGAGAAAGAGGGAGGGAGCGAGATCTACTAAGTGGGGAGAGGAAAAACAAGAGACATCAACATCTATCCTACTCATGTTGGATATTATTTGACGAAGCAGCCTTTTTTCGCCCTCACCCCCCCCCCCCCCCACACTTATTTTCAACTTTCTCTATTATTGTTTTTCTAGGCATTTCTCCATAATCCATTTTACTCCATAGACAACCTTAAGTTTCGTTTGTTTTAATTTTTCGGGAAATATTTTTGTCCAGGTCAAGAAGAAAATCAACTCGGTTTGATGCCTATTATCCTCAGTTAAACGGACATCATCAAGCAAGGTCCAACTTTGTTTATCTCATAGATAGAGGCTGTGTTAAGTGATTTACTCTTAAAAGGCACATTGCATCTGGCAAGATTATTGAATAGAACACTTTTATTTTACCATGGACATATTTTTGAGGACATAATTTTCACTTTTGATTTCTTAATGGCAAGTTGGAAGAGCAATAGCAATAATTTATTGTTGATGTCAAATTATATTTGTCATGTCGAATTTTACTATTATTCTCTAGTACATTCTTAATTCATATTTATATAGGCTACCATTCGGCGTTCAAATGAGGTAAATAACAGTCGGTCTAGCAGTGTGTATTCAGCTGCCCACCTGTCCACCTTTTGAATCGTTACGTCACTGTGTTGTGAACCCGTTGACAGCCAGTCAATCGTTTGTGGATTAATCGATAAATTCCGCGCTCATTCCACGGTGGGAATCAACGGCCATCTCAATCATGTCTAGGCCGCTCACACAGCTCCTACCGCCTGACCTCCCGGCAGGAGCGAGCCCACAGTTCGGTACGGGTAACCTTGCGGGCAGTGTCCCGACCGGCGGACACTTGAACTCCATGGCCAGCCTCAAGACTCTCCTACAGCTGCCCATCAAGGTTGACCAGCGAGCAAAAGACTGCTGTGCAATGAAAGGTGAGGTTTGTTGTGTGTGTGTGTGTGTGTGTGTGTGGTGGGGCAGGGAGGGAAGGAAGGGGACAGTTCATGCATACCAAATGTTTAAATAAATACACACACACACACACACACACACAGGGTGGCCTGCAATCTTTGTTTTCATTCAGTTGGCTTGGTTTCATGTGTTATAAATATAAAGCATATAGACTTGACAATTCTTGCATTGACTTGTATCATGCATGACTTATTATGGCAATAGGTTCATATTTTTGTTGCCAGCAACAAGAACACACACACACACACACACACACACACACACATACACAGCATAGAACATGAATGCTTTTATCCTTCAATAAAGACCTTCAATAAGGACACATCTCATGATATTAATGGACACTGAGTGTACAAAAAGTTAGGAACACCTTCCTAATATTTAGTTGCACCCCCTTTTGCCCTCAGAACAGTCTCAATTCGTCGGGGCATGGACTCTACAAGGGTCGAAAGCGTTCTATAAGGATGCTGGCCCATGTTGACTCCAATGCTTCCCATAGTTGGCTGGATATCCTTTGGGTGGTGGACCATTCTTGATACACACAGGAAACTTTTGAGCGTGAAAAACCCAACAGCGTTGCAGTTCATGACACACTCAAACCGGTGTGCCTGGCACCTACTACCCTGTTCAAAGGCCTTTAATCTTTTGTCTTGCCCATTCACTCTAAATGGCACACATACACAATCCATGTCTCAATTGTCTCAAGGCTTAAAAATCATTCTTTAACCTGTCACTTCCCCTTCATCTACACTGATTGATGTGGATTTAACAAGTGACATCAATAAGGGATCATAGCTTTCACCTGGATTCACCTGGTCAGTCTATGTCATGGAAAGACCAGGTGTTCCAAATGTGTTGTACACTCAGTATATAAGGATGTCTAACACGAGCTCTCAATCCAACAAACATTGATTCAACAAACACAGACTAGATACATTTTAATTGGTCAAATGTTAACTAAGGGTGGGGGCAGGGAGGGTTGTTAAATGTAATGTAAAAAAGAGACATAACCAAAAGTAGTTATTTATCATGAGGGCCATAAGAAATACCTAGTAATCCTTATACTGCCAGAAATATTAAAATCTCACCTTTCTGGTAAAAATAGTTATAAATTGCTGAGGTGTAGTCACTTTTGAGGACACAAGCTCAAGTTCACAGTACATATATGATGAAAATATGAAAAATCATGTATGATGTATTTCCTATTCAACAAAAGTTGGGGAATAGGGCTTCAAATTATTAAAATGCTTTTTAATGACTTACTATAATATTTTATCTTTCTTACAGCTGTAAAATACAGTGGCTTGCGAAAGTATTCACCCCCTTGGCATTTTTCCTATTTTGTTGCCTTACAACCTGGAATTAAAATGGATTTGTGGGGGGTTTGTATCATTTGATTTACACAACATGCCTACCACTTTGAAGATGCAAAATAATTTCTTTTGTGAAACAAGTAAGAAATAAGACAAAAAAACAGAACTTGAGCGTGCGTAACTATTCACAGCAATTACAGCTGCAAGTCTCTTGGGCTATGGCTCTATAAGCTTGGCATATCTAGTCACTGGGATTTTTGGCCATTCTTCAAGGCAACTGCTCCAGCTCCTTCAAGTTGGATGGGTTCCGCTGGTGTACAGCAATCTTTAAGTCATACCACAGATTCTCAATTGGATTGAGGTCTGGGCTTTGACTAGGCCATTCCAAGACATTTAAATGTTTCCCCTTAAACCACTCAAGTGTTGCTTTAGCAGTATGCTTAGGGTCATTGTCCTGCTGGAAGGTGAGCCTCCGTCCCAGTCTCAAATCTCTGGAAGACTGAAACAGGTTTCCCCTCAAGAATTTCCCTGTATTTTGCGCCATCCATCATTCCTTCAATTCTGACCAGTTTCCCAGACCCTGCCGATGAAAAACATCCCTACAGCAGCATGATGCTGACACCACCATGCTTCACAGTGGGGATGGTGTTCTCAGGGTGATGAGAGGTGTTGGGTTTGCGCCAGACATAGCGTTTTCCTTGATGGTCAAAAAGCTCAATTTTAGTCTCATCTGACCAGAGTACCTTCTTCCATATGTTTGGGGAGTCTCCCACATGCCTTTTGGTGAACACCAAACGTGTTTGCTTATTTCTTTCTTTAAGCAATGGCTTTTTTCTGGCCACTCTTTCGTAAAGCCCAGCTCTGTGGAGTGTATGGCTTAAAGTGGTCCAATGGACAGATACTCCAATCTCCGCTGTGGAGCTTTGCAGCTCCTTCAGAGTTATCTTTGGTCTCTTTGTTGCCTCTCTGATTAATGCCCTCCTTGCCTGGGCTGTGAGTTTTTGTGGGCGGCCCTCTCTTGGCGGGTTTGTTGTGGTGCCATATTCTTTCAATTTTTTAATAATGGATTTAATGGTGCTCCGTGGGATGTTCAAAGTTTTGGATATTTTTTTATAACCCAACCGTGATCTGTGCTTCTCCACAACTTTGTCCCTGACCTGTTTGGAGAGCTCCTTGGTCTTCATGGTGCCGCTTGCTTGGTTGTGTCCCTTGCTTAATGGTGTTGCAGACTCTGGGGCCTTTCAGAACAGGGGTATATATACACTGAGATCATGTGACAGATCATGTGACACTTAGATTGCACACAGGGGGACTTTATTTAACTAATTATGTGACTTCTGAAGGTAATTGGTTGCACCAGATCTTATTTAGGGGCTTCATAGCAAAGGGGGTGAATACATATACACGCACCACTTTTCTGTTATTTATTTTTTATAATTTCTGAAACAATTTATTTTTTTCATTTCACTTCACCAATTTGGACTATTTTGTGTATGTCCATTACATGAAATCCAAATAAAAATCAATTTAAATTACAGGTTTTAAAGCAACAAAATAGGAAAAACGCCAAGGGGGATGAATACTTTTGCAAGGCGCTGTAAATATGATCATACTTACTGACAGCACAAAATCAGCACCCATTCATATAACTGAAGACAGACAATTTTCTGCCCAGCGTCCTCTGAGCAACGAAAATATGCCATTCAAATGCCTGCTAACTTGTTACAACTTCAGCTTTAAGCACAACATGCAAGTGGTCTTGTATAAATTATACAAAATGATTTTGTATTAAAACTGAAGTTGTAACAAGTTAGCAGGCATTTGAATGGCGTCTCTTCGTTGCTCAGAGGACGCTGGGCACAAAATCGAGAGCTCTAAATCCATCGGAGAAAATCACAGGGAGATGATACTGCTTTTGCTGCAATCGCTAGGCTCACCCGTTTCATATGCTGTATTCATTGTAAGCGGCGCTGCAAGGTTCACAGCCAGAGGAAATCGATCCTTTGTCTAGATAGGCCAGAAAATGTGAGGTGTCGCTCCCTATGCAAATAAGGTGTCAGATTTCACATACTGCATCTCAGTTGAGAGCAGCATGTGAAGTGGGACAACCAGAACGTTCAGAGTCAAATCAAATGTTATTGGTTACATGCACCAAATACAACCGGTGTAGACTTTACAGTGAAATGCTTACTTACGAGCCCATTCCCAACAGTGTAGAGTTAAAAAGTAAGACAAATATTTGCTAAATAAAAAAGGAAATAGTAACACAATAATAACAAGGCTATAAACAAGGAGTACCAGTACCGAGTCAATGTGCAGGGGTACGAGGTGGTTGAGGTAGTTGAGGTAATACAGTATGTACATGTGGGTAGGGGCAAAAGTGACTAGGCAATCAGGATATATAATAAACAGAGTAGCAGCAGTGTGTGTGAAAGTGTGTGTGCGTGTGGCGTCAATATGCATGTGTGTGTTTTGTGTGTGTGTGTGTGTGAGCATATGCAATGTGTGTGTTGGAGTGCCAGTGTCGTATGTGTGAGTGTGCGTAGAGTCTAGTGAGTGTGCATAGAGTCAGTGCAAAACAATTGAGATAAATAAATAAATAAATAATAGAGGGGTTTAATGTAAATTGTCTGGGTAGCCATTTGATTAACTGTTCAGCAGTCTTATGGCTTGGGGGTAGAAGCTGTTCAGGTGCCTTTTGGTCACAGACTTGGCGGTCCGGTACCACTTGCCGTGTGGTAGCAGAGAGAAGAGTCTATGACTTGGGTGGCTGGAGTTTTAGAAAATGTTTAGGGCTTTCCTCTGACACTGCCTGCATAGCCGCGGGAAGTAGTTTGGGTGGGGCTGGACTAATCTTTTTGCCCGTGCTGGCGCTGCAGACTGCTAAATCGGTCTGTTAATACAGGACTATTAAAGGCTCAGTGCACTACTTTTGTGAAAAAATATTTATTTCAAATATGTTTTATATATATATATTTTTAATTCTGATTTTTCAGGGGGTGCTGCAGCACCCTCAGCAACCCACTACTTCCCGCGGCTATGACGGCCTGGTATAGAGGTCCTGGATGGCAGGGAGTTCGGCCATATGCACTACCCTCTGTAGCGCCGTGCGGCCAGATGCCGAGCAGTTGCCATACCAAGCGGTGACGCAGGCAGTCAGGATGCTCTTAATGGTGCAGCTGTATTACTTTTTGAGGGTCTGAGGGCCCATGACAAATATTTTCAGACTCCTGCCTCCTGAGGGGGAAGAGGCGTTGTCGTGCCCTCTTCACGACTGTGTTGGTGTGTATGGACCATGATAGGTCCTCAGTGATGTGGACACCGAGGATCTTGAAGCTTTCGACCCGCTCTACCACAGCCCCATCAATGTGAACGTTGAGGGAGAGGTTGTTTTCCTGGCACTAGACTGCCAGGTCTCTGACCTCCTCCCGAAAGGCTGTCTCATCGTTGTAGGTGATCAGGCCTACCACCGTTGTGTTGTTGGTAAACGTAATGATGGTGTTGGAGTCGTGCACGGCCACACAGTCGTGGGTGGACAGGGAGTACAGGAGGGGACTGAGCACGCACCCCTAAGGGGCCCCAGTGTTGAGGGTCAGCGTGGCAGATGTGTTGTTGCCTACCTTCACCACCTGGGGGCAGCCTGTCAGGATCCAGTTGCAGAGGGAGGTGTTCAGTCCCAGGATCCTTAGTTTAGTGATGATCTTGAAGGGCACTATGGTGTTGAACACTGAGCTGTAGTCAATGAACAGCATTCTTCCTTTTATTCGGGTGGGAAAGAGCAGTGTGAAGTGCAATAGAGATTGGGTAATCTGTGGATCTGTTGGGGAGGTATGTAAATTGGAGTGGGTCCATGGTTTCTGTCTGGCCCGCGACCTTGTGAATGTTAACCTGTTTAAAGGTCTTACTCACATCGGCTATGGAGAGCGTGATCATACAGTTGTTCGGAACAACTGGTGCTCTCACGCATGGTTCAGTGTTGCTTTCCTCGAAGCGAGCATAGAAGGTATTTAGCTCGTCTGGTAGGCTCGTGTCACTGGGCAGCTCTCGGCTGGGTTTCCCTTTGTAATCCGTGAATGTTTGCAAGCCCTGCCACATCTGATTAGCGTCTGAGCCAGTGTAGTAGGATTTGATCTTAGTCCTGTATTGACGTTTTTCCTGTTTGATGGTTCGTCGGAGGGCATAGCGGAATTTCTTATAAGCGTACGGATTAGTGTCCTGCTCCTTGAAAGCGACAGCTCTAGCCTTTAGCTCAGTGCGGGTGTTGCCTGTAATCCATGGCTTCTGGTTGGGATATGTACGTATGGCCACTGTGGGGACAACGTCATTGATACACTTATTCATGAAGCCGGTGACTAATGTGGTAAACTCCTCAATGCCATCGGATGAGTCCCGCAACATATTCCAGTCTGTGCTAGCAAAATAGTTCTGTTGCAAGTCCCCTAAATAGAGAACTTAACGTTTAAGTTAAAGGGATGTCACAACCTTAATCAGCTGCTGTCTGTACACAAACAACAATCCCATTGACAAACAGCCTCCCCCTGGTGGCTATAGAGTTGAACAACAGCCCTCCACCATTTCCATGGATGTCTTTGTGTGAGAGATGACGCTGACCAAGACTGACAGCTCCTCCAATGGAGTCGGGGCACAAAGGGCCTACCAGCATCAAGTTCACCATCAGAGCATGCATAGTCGTTGTGTATCACTAATGTTAAGGGATGGAGAAGGGTTTTATTACATGAGATAGAGTCTTGAGTGTTTTTTGCAAAAATATTTGGTTGCCTGTGGCTTCATGATGCATTTCCCTTTGAACAGAAAAAGTATTTTTCTCTCCCTGGTCGGCTGGCTTGCTTTGTTTGACACCCTCATATACACCCACTCGCTGAGCGTATCTCCCCTCTCCTCTCTCCTCCCTCTTCCATCCTCTCTATCCTCTAGCACATTTACCAAATCCCCTCATGCAGTCCTCTTCCACTTCTCACACCTCCCTCACTCCCCCTTCACTTCTATCTCTCTTCTCATCCCTCTTCTGTTATTTTCTTTGCATATCTCTCTCTATTTTCACTCCTTCTCTTTTCTCTCCACTTCCATCACCCCTCTCTTCCTGTTTGTATTCCCTCTTCTTTCTCTCCTCACCCTCTTTATTCTCATCTCCTATATTTCCTGTCATCCCCCAATATCGTCCTATCATCAATCTCTCCTCCTATTTGAATCTCTAATGTCTCCTCTTCCCTTTCCTCTTCCTTCTCACCACATATCCTCTTATATTCATTCCCTATGTCTATTTTTTCTCCATCCCCTCCTACCTAATTGCTCCTCTGTTCCATCTCTCCTCTCTCCTGTCTATTTATGATTTTGCATTGCTTTTCTCTAAATGTCTCTCCTCATGTTTCCTTTCTTCTCTATCCTCTCTCCTGTCTGTCTGTCTTATTTTGCGTTCCCTTATTTCTCCCCTCCCCCTCTCTCTTCCCTCTACATGTCTCTTTCCTCTCTATCTCACTTCCAAAACTGTGTGTGTGCGTATGTGTGTGCTGACAATAATGTGCTGTCCTGCTGGCCAGTACAGCCCTGGTGTGATCATCACTCTATGAATCAGCCCTGTCACCCTGTCCCCTACCCCTTCTGTCCTCTATGTGATCTCCTCTGCCTAGCTCTCAGCGGTGTCACACTGATAGTCATCCCCCATTTTTGAGCCCCCTCTCCTCATTAATGTGATGGCTCTCAAGGGGATGAGGGCTGAGACATGAGACGATGCCACCTCCGCTAATAATGTTAGCGTATTATGTTAGCTTAGCATCTTACTCTTCCCTCATTAAGTTAGCTTAGCATCTCACTTCTTCTTCATGATGTCAGAGTAGCGTTTCAGTCCACCTTCATGATATTAGCATAGCATCTCACTCCCTTACTCACATTTGTCAGCCAGCCTGTGTGTGGATGGGAAGACTGCTGGCACTGTTGCTGATGCAGCCATGTAATGGCGGTTGGTTGCCTGCAGAGCTGATGAGGGCACTAGGCTCCCAGGCAGATTATGTGATGATAAGAGACAGCAGTGATGAACACTGAACAGGCTGGATTGTTGCACTCAATGTCTCTCTCTCTCTCTCTCTCTCTCTCTCTCTCTCTCTCTCTCTCTCTCTCTCTCTCTCTCTCTCTCTCTCTCTCTCTCTCTCTCTCTCTCTCTCCTTTTCCTCCAATTTTTCTCTTCCATTTATTCTTGCTCGCTCTCTTTCTCCATCTCCTTTCTCTCTCTTTCTCCCCACTAACAGATAAAGACAAGCCCCAGGACTCAGACGAGGACTCCATGGGTGGGGGTCCAGGTGGTCGGCCTTCCCAGTCGGCCTTCCTGGGGCCCCATCTGTGGGAGCGCACGCTGCCCTGCAGCGACGGGGGCCTCTTCCAGCTGCAGTACATGGACCTGGAGGAGTTCCTGACTGAGAACGGCATGGCCATGCACAGCAAAGGTGGCAATGGCTCCAGCGCCAGTGCCCAGGTGCCCTCACAGAGCTCCCTGCAGTCGGCCGTGCCCAACCAGAGCTCCCAGTGCCCGCCGTCCTCCCCTCCGCCATGTTCTTCTTCATCGTCCTCCATGTCCTCCTCATCTTCCTCCTCCTCGCTGCTGGGCCTGGACAACGTGCCGCCGCCACCAAACGGACTGCCAGGCATGATGGGAGGGCCTGAGAGCCTACATGGTTAGTAGTGGAGCTCTGCTACCTGACCCGAGCCCGACGGGCCCCAACGTTATACATCGGGTTAGGGCTGTGTAGGGCCTGTTTTTTTCATCAATAACTAGGGTACGAGTAGGGCTCGGGTATCACTAAATTAATCACTAACGTTTTGAAGCTGAGCCATTTGCTCGTGCTCTGCTGCGCAGCACAGTCATATCTGACTAAGATCATAACATGGTGTCAGAAGTCCTTAAACCTCATCAAATATAAGACAGGATAAATTATTTATTTTTAAATGTATGTGTAGAGTGACCAAAAGTAGCTAACAGCTAACTGCTCTCTCATGTCTCTTCGTTCGTGGAGCAAAGCCAGAGATACTTTTGAGGAGATGCTAAACTCCATTGGAATCGTATTAACGCCCATTGTGTACGTTGCCCATGCTACATCAATGGGCCGCGCGGTGCATTCTGGGCGATTCTGGGACAAGGAGAGATCTCCTTAAAAGGAGTGAATGAGAGTCAATTGGGCGCTAGCTCAAAAACCCAACATTAGCATGACGTTCGTCAACAAGAAGTTCAACATTACAAATATATTCTGAGATTTGAGATACTTACTGTAACTTGCTATCTGTAATATTGTATAACTTTGGAATCGTGACATTACGTACTTTCAATGAAAATAGGCACGTTTCTCGACTCATACCCTGACTTTGAGAAGGGATTGCGTGATGATTAGCTTAGCAACCGCGTGACGCAGCATAACAATGTGAATGCGATTGGGTGACAGTCTGCTGGGTGGGGCGTTATACGTTTCCCTATTCATTGCCCAATGGGATTCCTATCTCCTCCTTTCTCTAATATCTCTGGCAAAGCAGCCGTTGCTATGGATACACAGACTCAAAGCCGCCATGAGCAGAGCGCATGCAGAACGAGCTGCCTGCGCGCAGGGAGCGATCGAGTAACAGACAGAGAGGAGCAGCTAATGGATTTACTAATAGGAAGTTATTAAGGGCCTTACATTTGGCAGAAGCAATCGGGCCTGGTTAGGGTAGGGCCTGAACGTCGCGGTTAGGGCTTAAAATTCATGCCAATGCAGGGCTCTTGTTAGTAGGGTGTGTGGTAAAAGAGGGGAGGGGCAGGGAGTGTGTGGGTGGGTGTAGGTATGTACAGGATGTGTGTGTGTTTGGTTGTGTCCATGTGAGTGTTTGTTTCTGTGTTTAGCAGGGGTTGGAACCAAAATTATGTTCAGATCGTTTTGTTCTGAACAGAACCACTTTTTTCCGTTTCGTTCCACTATTCCGACCAGCAAAATAACGTTTTGAACTGGTTCGAACCCAAAAAAACTATTGGTTTTTGTAGAGCTCCAAGGCAAAAACTAATATGTAGGAGGGCCAATAGAACTGCTTTGTGTTTTATTCCATAGTACAAATGCATCATTGTGCATTGATGCATCCGAAAATCCCCAAATCTCCTACTGTCTAGTGTGAAATTGGTGGCATGATGCTAGCGGAAGAGGAGCAAGGGACAGGGGACAAAAATAAGCTATATACAAAGGGTAAAAAGACAGGGTATAGTCTCAAAGAACTTGTCCAATAGACTATTCACGGCCCTTTATTTTGACACTTGTAGTTTTACGGTAATTAACCTCGTAAACTCTGAAGCCCTCTGGTGGCATTTTCTAAACGACGCATAATATTGTATTCTACCCCCATAAAGTACATTTTATTTTCAAAACTACAAACACATGTTTTACAATGTCCATCAGGGTGTACCCTTTCCATGACTAGACCTACATTGCATACTCTTATGACATTGCCAGCAGTAAGATTTGAGTTTGATTTCCAGAAAGACAAGGACTGTAGCTTTCAAATGATATGTCACTTTCTATTTTCTGACAAAACATTCTCGCCGGACCAAAACAACCACTCAGCGTTTTTCATATCTGCTAAATCAGTGCAACACAAACAGACACATTTTTTTTTCCACCTTTATTTAACCAGGTAAGCCAGTTGAGAACAAGTTCTCATTTACAACTGCGACCTGTCCAAGATAAAGCAAAGCAGTGCGATTAAAAACAACGACAACACAGAGTTACATATGGAATAAACAAAACGTACAGTCAATAACACAATAGAAAATCTATATACAGTGTGTGCAAATGAAGAAAAAATATACACATGAGTTACAGACCAGGGAAGACAATCGGAGTGACACCTTAGCATAGAGATATAAACAAATTCAGAAATCAATCATAGAAATGTTTACCACAATAATTCATTTTAATGACGTGTCGAGGAAAGAGTTAAGAAAGACTCTGCAATACAGGACAAAACGAGAGAGAGAGCCCAGTTCAGTGTTCTCCTTGCATGTTTTAATACCTCTCACTCTATCTCTCCCTCCCCCTTACTCCCTCTCTCACACGCTTGGGCCATGTGCAGGCGTTGTCACGTGGCGATGCAGAGAGTAATGGAGCGAGAGAGAGCAAGAGAGGGGAAGGGAGGGGCGGCGGAAGAAGGAGGGGTTGGAGGGAGAGAGGCATAGAGATGGAGTAAAGCAGAGAGAGAGAGAGAGAGCTCTGGTGAGCCCTAGCATAACATTGCATAAGACTAGCCTTACATAAAGAAGCAGAGAGATTTACATTGCAGAGATATCCCCTTCATGTCGCCATACCATTTTTACACACTGAACAACATTGTGACATAACATTTCAGAATTACATGTTGTTGACATAAGGACTGAGGGAAAGACTGCTGTGAAATGAAAGGTGAGGTTTATTGTTTGTGTGCGTGTGTGTGTGTGGGGGCTGTGCTCTCTCTTTGTGTTATTTTCTGAAGGAGGGAGGAAGAATGTGAGGAGGGGTGGTTTGTCCTATGGATACTTAGGAAGAAAGGATTTTGTGTATGTTTTAAATATAAGATAGAGGGAGTATGGGGGTGGGGTAGGGATTGGAGGGGTATCGTATGGAACTGTCTTTGTGGTGGCTACGGAGCGATGGGACTGGGGAGTGCATTTTATGTAACACACTTCCTAAATCACATTCCATTTCAGCGTTGCATTTCCTCAAGTGTTTTCTAAAACAGGCACAATCAAACAATCGTTGCCAACAAGACTGATTTCCCTATTAATAATGCAATAAAAACACTGAGACCAATATTGAATTGAAATGTAATATGAAATTCCTATGTTATCGCTGATTTATGAATGTATAAGAATGTATTGGTTGTCTTCTGAGGAATAGTGGGTGTTGAGGTTAGGTTATACCCTTGGTATAAAGCTGTTGTAGCCATAGCAATAGCTCATATTACAGCACAGGGAAATAAAACAATGTAGTGAAGGCCTCATGAATTGCAGTCTAATTTCACTGGTTAAAGTTGGGTGTGAGAAATAATAACAATAGTGTGTTTGGATTATGAAAGCTTTAAACCCTGCTTAGAAGTGTTACCTGGAAAATGTACATGTATTGCTATCAAATGTCAAAAATGTATATTAAAGGAGTATTTTACAACTAGATGTTAGATGGTTCCTCACCCTGAAAGTAGTCTATAGGCCAGGAGAAACTGTAATCAGGTTTCTTTAAACAGACACTAAAAACTTCAGCTAACTTTAACCACCACAAGCTAACAATCAATGGAAGTGATGGGGGCATGTGAGCGTGTATTTTTTTAATGGCCAAATCACCTTTTAAGTAGCATCAAACCAAATATGGAGGTGATTTGAATTGATTTCAGGTGATTTGGATATTTCTCTAAAACATACTCACATGCCCCCATCACTTCCATTGATTTTTATCTTCTGGGGGCTAAGGTTAGCAGAATTTTGTAGTGTCTGTTTAAAGAAAACTGAACCATGGATTACAGTTTCTGTTGGCCCATAGATTACTTTCAGGGTGAGGAACCATCTAACATCAAGCTGTAAAATAGTGAACTACTCCTTTAAAGATAAAGCATATTTTACTGACTGAGGGTAATATAGTATGACATTGACCAAAGGTAAAAGAGGGGAGATGGCAAGGGCTATAAGAAAGCTTAGAGCTGAATGTAGAAGGTTGTTTACCCAGCAGCACAGTTCTTGGATAATTTTCAACCTTTTGCCCAAAATGGTTGTTATTAAGATTGGACTTTGGTGCCATCTTATCCTGGATCAGCCAGCTGCCAACTCGACCACATGACTGACTGTGTTATGTGGCCTCTGCTTCCACCTGGTGGCTGACCAGTAACACTGCAGCCTCCATGCAGCAGCCAGTTTACATACACAGAAATAACTAATCCTCTTTACCTTATTCTCAGCATGGTTGAGGCTTTGACCCTTCACCCTGGCCATGGTGAGAAGCATGTGATCAACCACAAGTTTGTTTTTGTTATCCTCTCTCCATATAGGTGGCCAAGTTGTGCCTCCTGACCTCTCACCCTCCTCCACCACCTCCTCTTCCTGCCCACCCGGGCTGCCAGGGGGCCCACCGGTCACCAATGGCACTGCTGACATCATGGTGAACTTTGACCCGGACCCGGCGGATGTGGCGCTGTCCAGCGTGCCGGGCCAGGAGGCCTTCGACCCCCGAAGGCACCGCTTCTCGGAGGAAGAGCTCAAGCCACAGCCCATGATCAAAAAGGCTCGCAAGATGCTGGTGCCAGACGAGCAGAAGGTACTACATTTCTTCTTGGCTTTAAATGTAGTTTGCACCTAAGAAGCTTAATGGTAGAGTTAGCAATAAGATGTCATCATAAAAAGCGGGGCAACTTCCTGCTTACTCAAGTGAATGACAATGTAGGCATGCATCAAGGGAGGGCACACATTGGGAAGTTTACATACACCTTAGCCAAATACATTTAAACTCAGTTTTTCACAATTCCTGACATTTAATCCTAGTAAACATTCCCTGTCTTAGGTCAGTTAGGATCACCACTTTATTTTAAGAATGTGAAATGTCAGAATAATAGTAGAGAGAATGATTTATTTCAGCTTTTCTTTCTTTCATCACATTCCCAGTGGGTCAGAAGTTTACATACACTCAATTAGTATTTGGTAGCATTGCCTTTAAATTGTTTAACTTGGGTCAAACGTTTCGGGTAGCCTTCCACAAGCTTCCCACAATAAGTTGGGTGAATTTTGGTCCATTCCTCCTGACAGAGCTGGTGTAACTGAGTCAGGTTTGTAGGCCTCCTTGCTCGCACACACTTTTTCAGTTCTGCCCACACATTTTCTATAGGATTGAGGTCAGGGCTTTGTGATGGCCACTCCAATACCTTGACTTTGTTGTCCTTAAGCCATTTTGCCACAACTTTGGAAGTATGCTTGGGGTCATTGTCCATTTGGAAGACCCATTTGCAAACAAGCTTTAACTTCCTGACTGATGTATTGAGATTTTGCTTCAATATATCCAAATAATTTTCCTTCCTCATGATGCCATGTATTTTGTAAAGTGCACCAGTCCCTCCTGCAGCAAAGCACCCCCACAGCATGATGCTGCCACCCCCCGTGCTTCACGGTTGGGATGGTGTTCTTCGGCTTGCAAGGTCCCCCTTTTTCCTCCAAACATAACAATGGTCATTATGGCCAAACAGTTCTATTTTTGTTTAATCAGACCAGAAGACATTTCTCCAAAAAGTACGATCTTTGTCCCCATGTGCAGTTGCAAACCGTAGTCTGGCTTTTTTATCGTGGTTTTGGAGCAGTGGCTTCTTCCTTGCTGAGCGGACTTTCAGGTTATGTCGATATAGGACTCGTTTTACTGTGGATATAGATAATTTTGTACCTGTTTCCTCCAGCATCTTCACAAGGTCGTTTGCTGTTGTTCTGGGATTGATTTGCACTTTTTGCACCAAAGTACGTTCATCTCTAGGAGACAGAACGCGTCTCCTTCCTGAGAGGTATGACGGCTGCGTGGTCCCATGGTGTTTATACTTGCGTACTATTGTTTGTACAGATGAACGTGGTACCTTTAGGTGTTTGGAAATTGCTCCCAAGGATGAACCAGACTTGTGGAGGTCTAGAATTTGTTTTCTGAGGTCTTGGCTGTTTTCTTTTGATTTTCCCATGATGTCAAGCAAAGAGGCACTGAATTTGAAGGTAGGCCTTGAAATACATCCACAGGTACACCTCCAATTGACCCAAATGATGTCAATTAGCCTATCAGAAGCTTCTAAAGCCATGACATAATTTTCTGGAATTTTCCAAGCTGTTTAAAGGCACAGTTAACTTGGTGTATGTAAACTTCTGACCCACTGGAATTGTGATACAGTGAATTATAAGTGAAATAATCTGTCTGTAAACAATTGTTGTAAAAATGACTTGTGTCATGCACAAAGTAGATGTCCTAACCGACTTGCCAAAACTATAGTTTGTTAACAAGAAATTTGTGGAGTGGTTGAAAAACAAGTTTTAATGACTCCAACCTAAGTGTATGTAAACTTCCGACTTCAACTGTACATGCTTCAAGTGTGCAAATACAATGCTCAGTTGTGACACCTCTGCCCCCCTCGCCATCCCAAAACTGAGCCTTCTTGCCCCTCTCCTCTCTCTTCTTTTCCCCAAACCCCCACAACACGCCTCTACTTTGTGGTGACTTCTGCAGGACGACAAGTACTGGAGCCGGCGCTACAAGAACAACGAGGCTGCCAAGCGCTCACGTGATGCCCGGCGCCTCAAGGAGAACCAGATCACGGTGCGTGCCGCCTTCCTGGAGCGAGAGAACGCTGCTCTCAGACAGGAAGTGGCCGACATGCGCAAGGAGCTGGGCCGCTGCCGCAACATCCTCAACAAGTTTGAGAGCCGACACGGAGACTTGTGAGGAAGAAGAAGAAGAGGAGGGAGGGGGTGGAGGAGAGGGGGGTAGAAGGCAACATTGGCAGCACTTTAGTTGAGGGGGTGCGCGTACGGCCTACGTATACGTGAAGTAAACATCGTATGACACCTGTAGTAAGCATCCATGTTGCGAGGAGCCTACAGTGTTGTAGTGAGTGCAGCCTCCATTTTATGTATCTGTGCTGTTTCACTTCCCGTGTCTCTTTGACTGGTAGTGTCACCTGGGCGTCGAGACGTCGTTCAGTGTTTATATCAGGTGCATTGCAGTGTTTTTGCGGGTAATGCGCAGGCCATACGTGCACCCATTCAAATGAGGTGTTCAAATCATACAGATCATAGACAACTAATGTTTTTAAGCTAAAGACAAGGAGACAAGCCAGGGGAGGACAGGTGTGTAATTTTTTTCTATGACAAAACATGTATATTTTTTGACTGTACTGGGCAGGGAGGGAGGCATGGGCAAACTAGAAAACAGAGGATGAGCTATAACTAGAAGAGGAGCAGTAGGAGAGGTGGGCAGGAGAGAAGAAAGCAAAGAGATTTCAACATAGGAAAACTGTATATTTTTATATTTGCAAACACAGAGAGTTCAGAGGAGATTTTGGAAATAATATTTTGTATATTTTATATATGGGTGAGTTTAGTATAGAGATAGGGGCTATATGAAGATGTTTTAACAACAGGGTGGATTGATAAATGATATATTTTGAACTTATTAAGATAGAGGGTTAGAGGTCAGAGGTCGTAATCGAGAATGTATAATGGTTGTATCCAGGGATAACATGACGACAAGAGAGGAGAAGTATCTTAGTAAATGATTGTAGACATAGACAGATCGAAGATGAAACAAACATTGTATATTTTTTATTTTGTTCTAGTGGGTTCGTTGAAGCAGTTAAAGGGAATTCTCAAAAATGTTCACTTCATATTCATCATCTCCAATATCACCCTAACATCAACATGTGAAAATGGGGCATTTATGTTTTGTAGTAAAAAAGATAGAGGAAGATAAGTGTTTCCAATGAATTCATCAACCTATTAGTAGGCAATGCCTACTCATAATTGGTTAAAATCACACGATGCACACCGATGATGTCATTGGAAACCCTTATCTTAGAAACGTGCAATATTCACATATATTGATGTTGGGGTGGTGCTGGAGATGATGAATATGAAGTTGAAAAAATGTCAAATGTCCCTTTAAAGTGCAATTCTTCCTCTTTTCAACCTCATAATCATAATCTCCAACACCAAACCAGTGTTTACATATGTGAAAACATCGCGTTTCTATGATCTGTGGTTAAAAAGAAAAGGAGAAAGGTCCTAAAAAAATGCTTCTCTGTGACATCACCTGCAACGAGTTTCTAGCCCAAGTGAGGGTATTTTCTAGCTCCCCACGTCACCGCGAATCTCATAGTTTTTTATAAAATCACTGTTTTTAAAATGTTTTGACTTTTGATGATGTCATCGGGTAGAACTTTTAAACTTTTTATATTTTTTCTACAAAACTTAGAAACGCACCGTTTTCACATACACTACATGTCCAAATTAGTGGATTCGGCTATTTCAGCCACACCCGTTGCTGTATAAAATCGAGCACACCGCCATGCAATCTCCATAGACAAACATTGGCAGTAAAATGGCCTGTACTGAAGAGCTCAGTGACTTTCCAACAAGTCAGTTCGTCAAATGTCTGCCCTGCTTGAGCTGCCCCGGTCAACTGTAAGGGCTGTTATTGTGAAGTGGAAACGTCTAGGAGCAACGACAGCTCAGCCGCAAAGTGGTAGGCCACACAAGCTCACAGAACCGCAGAGTGCTGAAGCGCGTAGGGCTTAATAATCGTATGTCCTCGGTTGCAACACTCACTGCCGAGTTTCAAACTGCCTCTGGAAGCAACGTCAGCAGAATAACTGTTCGTCGGGAGCTTCATGAAATGGGTTTCCATGACTGAGCAGCTGCACACAAGCCTAAGATCACCATGCGCAATGCCAAGCGTTGGCTGGAGTGGTGTAAAGCTCGCCACCATTGGACTCTGGAGCAGTGGAAATGCATTCTCTGGAGTGATGAATCATGCTTCACCATCAGTCCTTCGGACAAATCTGGGTTTGTGGATACCTGGAAAACGCTAACTGCCCCAATGCATTGTGCCAACTGTAAAGTTTGGTGGTGGAGGAGGAATAATGGTCTGGGGTTGTTTTTCATGGTTCAGGCCCCTTAGTTCCAGTGAAGGGAAATCTTAACGCTACAGCATACAATTACATTCTAGACAATTCTGTGCTTCCAACTTTGTGGCAACAGTTTGGGGAAGGCCCTTTCCTGTTTCAGCATTACAATGCCCCCGTGTACAAAGCGAGGTCCACACAGAAATGGTTTTCGAGATCAGTGTGGAAGAACTTGACTGGCCTGCACAGAGCCCTGACCTTAACCCCATCGAACACCTTTGGGATGAATTGTAACGCCAACTGCAAGCCAGGCCTAATCGTCCAAACATCAGTGCCCGACCTCACTAATGCTCTTGTGGCTGAATGGAAGCAAATCCCCGCAGCAATGTTCCAACATCTAGTGGAAAGCCTTCCCAGAAGAGTGGAGGCTGTTATAGCAGCAAAGGAGGGACAAACTCCATATTAATGGCCATGATTTTGGAATGAGATGTTTGACGAGCAGTGTATTTTGGCCATGTAGTGTATGTTGACACTGATATTGTGCTGGAGATAATGAAAGTGAATTTGAAAAGTGGTGGAGTTGCCCTTTAATTTGTTATCTTCTCTTTGATTCCTTTCTGGAATTAAATCTTTTTAATTGTGTGTCTGGCGGTGAGGAAGAGATAGAGAAAATAAATTGAAATGCTACAGTCAGTGATCAATCACGAGAGCAGCTGCAGCTGTACAGATATTTGTGAATAAATATTGCTCTAATGTGTTGCCAGGTATTCATGTAGATGGGTGAATACAGCCGCAGAAAAAATTAAGAGACCACTGCAAAATTATCAGTTTCTCTGGTTTTACTATTTATAGGTATGTATTTGGGTAAAAATAACATTTTTGTTTTATTCTATAAACTACTGACAACATTTCTCCCAAATTCCAAATAAAAGTATTGTCATTTAGAGCATTTATTTGCAGAAAATGACAACTGGTCAAAATAACAAAAAAGATGCAGTGTTGTCAGACCTCGAATAATGCAAATAAAATAAGTTCATGTTCATTTTTAAACTACACAATAGTAATATTTTAACTTATTTGGTGGAATAACGCTGATTTTCAATCACAGCTTTCATGCGTCTTTGCATGCTCTCCACCAGTCTTTCACATTGATGTTAGGTGACTTTATGCCACTCCTGGCGCAGAAATTCAAGCAGCTCGGCTTTGTTTGATGGCTTGTGACCATCCATCTTCCTCTTGATCACATTCCAGAAGTTTTCAATGGGGTTCAGGTCTGGAGATTGGGCTGGCCATGACAGGGTCTTGATCTGGTGGTCCTCCAATCACACCTAGATTGACCTGGCTGTGTGGCATGGCGCATTGTCCTGCTGGAAAAACCAATCCTCAGAGTTGGGGAACAATGTCAGAGCAAAAGGAAGTTTTCTTCCAGGACAACCTTGTACGTGGCTTGATTCATGCGTCCTTCACAAAGACAAATCTGCTCGATTCCAGCCTTGCTGAAGCACCCCCAGATCATCACCGATCCTCCACCAAATTTCACAGTGGGTGATAGACACTGTGGCTTGTAGGCCTTTCCAGGTCTCCGTCTAACCATTAGACGACCAGGTGTTGGGCAAAGCTGAAAATTGGACTCATCAGAGAAGATGACCTTACTCCAGTCCTCTACGGTCCAATCCTTATGGTCTTTTGCAAACCTCAGCCTGGCTCTTCTTTGCTTCTCATTGATGAAGGGCTTTTTTCTAGCTTTGCATGACTTCAGCCCTGCCCCTAGGATCCTGTTTCGAACCGTCCTCGCCGTGCACTTCACCCCAGCTGCCGTTTGCCATTATTTTTGTAGGTCACTTGATGTCATCCTACGGTTGTTGAGTGACATTCGAATGAGTTGGCGGTCATCCCGGTCAGTAGAGAGTCGTTTTCGCCCTCTGCCAGTCTGTAGCTTTGTTGTCCCCAAGGTCTGCTGCTCGACCTTGTTCTTATGAACCGCCGTCTTTGAAATGTTAAGGATGGAAGCAACCTGACGCTCACTGTATCCCTCTGTAGTAAAGCCAGAATTGAACCCTTCTTTTCCTCACTCAAAACTTTCCTTTTCAACTCTTTTGGCATGGTCAATAGTTATTTTTTGATTAATATTACTTTTGAGGTACTATTAGCACTGTTTTTGCCATCCAGCTGGTCCTATTGCAAGAGGATAGTGATGACCACAGCAGTGTTTTTATACTTTTCCTCGTTAAATAAGATTTGGTTCATGTGATCACCTAATCAGTACCTAATTCAGTAGAATGAGGTGTGCCTGTGTTGGATATTCAACAGACACTGGAATGGAATGGCTGTCATACATGTAGAGATGCTGATTTAAGAAAAATGTGCACTGCTCTCTTAATTTTTTCCACAGCTGTATGTTCGGCTTAGACACAGACACACACTGCAAACAAATATGACACACAGTCAAATAAGCTGGACCAGTGCATTTTTACATTACATTACATTACATACATACATAAACATATGCACGTACGGACACATGCTCTATCTCTCTCAAATGATCTCATTACACTAACACACACACACACACACACACACACACACACTTATTTGGCCCTGAAAGCAAGCCCGACCTTGAAACACAGGGCCGGTGTATGATAGCACACAACACTTCATCACTTTCTACAGCATATGCCAGGAATTTGTCTCCTCTCTCTCCCTCTCTCTCCTGATCCATTTTGAATTGTGAAACCGAATTAAACTGGTTTAGAATCGATTGCCCAGGTTAAGTTGGCAGTGTTTAGCATGAACCTGGGCTTGCCGACACAACACACCC